CTTTCTCATCATGAACGATGTTTCACAAGAGCAGGTACTCCTAATATTATGGTTGTTTATGGAGTCGATACTGCATAAACAACCATAATAGATTCGTAGGCCGGAGTGAGTTAAAAAGTGCGTTAATTCTTTCATTTCTCAAATATCACGGAGCCGTGGTCGCGTAAATGAGTAAGGGGAATAGGTAAAGAAATGATGAACCGAAATGAATGCCTGAATAAAGCACATAGAGTAAATAACAAATATCAACGACAGATCATAACAGCAGAAGTTAATATAGAAAAGTAGCGAAAGAAGTGACTTCCCCACGTTTCTCTTTGTATAGGTAAAATACTACTGTTCAAAGCGAATAAATTATGAAGAACATCGATCTTTCCATACTTCAATCAAAAATGAAAAAAAATAAAGCAAGCTGAACTAAAATCTACTATGATCGGTTAATTCTAGGGTTTAACTAAAATATCTGAATTCAAAAATAAGGCTATGATGGCGAACAAGAGTCTCCTTAAATTGTTAACGTAGCAATTCATAAGTCAGTCGAAACCCCCATGAATAGCCTTTTCAGGCATTTGTCATCCACTGATTGTCCTTTCCTCTGCAATGAATCGAAGATACAACGATTTTTTATCCCACTGTATGCATGCTACGGTGAGAGTAGTGAAACGCAGTAAAGTGTTAACAGCGTCGTTGTTTGGTGTCCTTAAACATGAATCGGCAAGCCATTTACTACAAGGAGACATCTTAAATTCAGAATCAAAAACAAAATGGAGATGTAAGAGAGCCGATTCAATAAATCTGGATATCCATTTTTCTGGAACGTGTCCCAAAACGCTTGACTGCAGCTGAAAGAAATTAAGTACAGTAAAATATGTAGGAACTATAAGTCGCATGTATGCATAATATTAATGACAGTCAAACGAATGATTAGGAAGAAGGACTTAAATAACTATTAATGATAGCGGAAGCGTAAAAAGTGAAGACGTGAAGGGACCGTGAAGGCTTCTCAAAATTATTAAGTTCAAAATGGTAGCCTTTGCGTGCATACTCTGAGAAAAATTTTATAATTATTAGGATCTTATGAACTGAACTAGAATATAAGTAAACTAAGAGAATTAATTAGATGCTAAAACGGCAAAAATGATATCGATAAAATACCGAAAAGAAGACAACAGTTTATCACCTCAAAGACTATGGGTTGGTTAAGCGTCAAAATTCCAAAATGATACATAGACTGACTTTTGCTAGCGAGAAAGGACAGGAAAACCGAAATATCTCCGCAGCTATATGAAAGAGAATGTACATGCGTAACTCCTAAATAAACAAGGAGAAAACGAGTATTTTTCTCCAGATTGAGAAGTCACAGCTGCGATGGCTTGGGCATGTGTTGCGAATGCCTCAAGAAAGAAAGGCTAAGCAACTGTTCCTTGCAAGTCCGACCGGCAAAAGGCCCAGGGGACGGCCAAGATTAACCTGGT